CGTACGTACGACCAAACCAAACTAACGTACTCTAACGTACTAGTTGGTGTAGTGTCTCTATGTGTATTACTTACTTACTTTACTTTTAGTTAATAGTAATACTCTCTCTCTCTCTCTCTCTCTCTCTCTCTCTCTCTCTCTCTCTCTCTCAATTAGATCACCAACGTTCAACCACCAAAGTGAGTACATCGCATGAAGTTTGCCCCCTCAGCGCTTAAATTCATAAAACACACAACCCCAAGCTTAGTTCACATGATAAAAGAAAACCAACATTGCCAAAACCCTCTACTTTGATTTTTCAACAAGTATAGGGTTTAAACTACTTTCAACATTGGAGTGTTGGAGCTCAATAGGGCTTAGGAATTAGATTGTTAGCTTTTTTTTGGGTAATTCAATAGAAATGACAAACCCCTACCGGCTCTTTTGAAATCGTTAGTGATGTTCGAATGCGTTAGGTGAAAATAAAAACCTAGACTTCAGCTGAAGCCATGTTGGTGGTGCTACCACCGTAACCTCAACCCCATTCACAATTAGATTGTTAGCTACTTAAGTAATTTGCAGGAGTGTTGGTCTAAAATGCGAGATTTGTGCAGAGCACATAATAGAGTAATGGTTACATGGAATTATAGTTTTGACCTTAAGGACCGACTTTGGGAGCCTTCCTCGAGATGTGCATCGTTCATTCTATCACTTCCGAAAATGTATATTTTCCGCTTTTTGATAAATTTCTTTCTTATTCCCTTTGTAAGCTCTAGAAAATCACAGTTCCCTGTTGAGATGCTATTCACATAGCATTGTTTGATGCTCTCAAAATATGTACTCCCACAATATAATATAAACCTCAAAAGATAAATATTTGGTGCATATTTTGTGCCTTTCGTAAATATTAACATAATACATGAAAACACCTACATGGAATGAGAAAAGATGTCAAATAACAAATAAAGTACCACCATCCTCTTTTAGGAGCTATCTATTTTACCCTTCATAATGACAACTTTTTGTATGAGAAGTAAAGAAGAATGAGCATCAATGAATGTGGAGTAGGTTGAAAGAATCCTCCATAGAGGGAGTAGCTTGAGAAAAAATTAAGAGCTAACGGAAACAAAAAAAAATTATAAGAATTACAGAATGAAAAATTGAACTAGGAGAAACTTTATACTTTTAGCCCCATTCACACCAGGAAACAAACACAAAGATACAATAATTACACTGCGGTTTTAAGCCGTCCTTTCCAAAGAGAAGGATGAGAGGTAAGATAGCCCAAAAGACAAATAGAAAGTAGTATTATATTACAATTAGAGCAAGACCACCTAATGGTGGCTCCGACTCTCTCCATCACTGTCCATAATATGAATGGCATGGATCTAAAGACTGACTCTGCACTAGTACTCAGGACTATGCTAATACTTCGACAAATATAAATATCATTAGTTTCTTCTCATGCAATATAGGGGTGGCAACAGGTCCCCACCCCACCCGGACCCAAAAATAGAGTGTGGGACCTGGACCCAGACCTTATCCAAAAATAAAAATATCTACACGTTCAACTATATTTAAATATATTTCATAAATTGTGACATGAAAAAAATATTATAGACCCAGACCTGGACCCTGACCCAAATAGTGTTCGGGTCCAAGATTTGGACCCGATCTGCTGGGTCAAATTTTTGGACCCATACCTGGGCCCAGATAGGGTCTACCCATTGAGTCCCGGGTAGGGTCTGGGTCCCATTGCCCCCTTTTCTATGTTCACTACAAGCTAATCTGGATTCTGGAATGCACCTTTTAACTGCCTAAGAAGTAAGTCTTTCTTAATAAATATGGCAATCAACCAATGCCTTCAAGGCATTCTCAGAAACAATAAGGCTCATAACTCATTTAACAAAATCAGATCTATGCCAACAAATGAAAGCTGAGTTGCCTCAACAATGATTCCCCTATTGCAGAACAGCATTAGCAATTAAATGTGTAGAGAGAAAGCCACAATGAATTATTTTTGGGCCAAGTCTGCAAGGCACTGTATCAGTGCCCGCCCAAGATTGAAACCAAGTTCACACACACAACAAGCACATTCTCATAAGGCATAATTCTTGACACTCTGATTCTACTGGGGTAAAGGGGGCTTATTGAAAGGTCAATTGAGTAAAATTACATGAATTTAAGTTAAAAATTGAAATTAAGACTTGCGGGAATAGACTAAGACCATCATGAAATCCTTAGCTGAAGCGCCTGGAGATGGCGGTGCTCTTAGTTGGCCTCCACCAGAGCGTAGCCACAAGTCCACGAGACTGTGCAAAGCCAAGCTGGGGACCACCGGCTGACCACGACAAGTGAGCTCTACCTGTCAAATGGACAAAAATGACATTTTTTTTCCTTTTCTTCTGTAGGGTATATTACATATAGAACAAAAATAAGTGTGATATGATCAATGTCATAAAGGTCATCACCATCCAATCGATTGGTTGGGCAGTAATGGAGAGGGGGCATATGATTGAATGCATATCAAACAAAGGGTTATCATGTAATTCTAGATCAGTTGTGAATCTGGTGACATCTGGAACTAATATGGTTTCAACATTTGAAGTCAGTATCTGCCCCTTTCATAGAGACCCAAGTTACGAATGTGCCATGGAACATGCTCAATGCCTCTTCACCAACTCGTTTGAAAGAAACTTAAGCCTCTGCCAAGGTCAATTGTTGCTAGATAACCTGAAAGGGCACAAACACTGCTCCAGTGGGAGCAAAAGGTACAGTTGCTCCCTCAGAAAAAAGACCCATTTAGAGAATTTCCTTGATGTAGAATTTCGGTCAAAGAAAACAAAATAGGATTTCGAGTACCTAAACACCTAGATCTCACTATGCAAAAATTGGACAGTCTGTGCAATCGTAGGGCTTCATATTTTTGAAGGCAGGAGTACATTAGAGCCTCAATAATTGAGGTCCTAAAACTACTCCTAGCTAGGGTTTTGGTCAAGGAAGCAAATGTATATATTGCTCCAAATGAAGTATATAATCTTTTAGTAACCTAAAAAAGACATCTTAGCAAAGTAAGTTCAGTGAATGCTAAAAAGAACAGAAATTGTATAGACAAACTTTATTTAGACAAAAGCAAAGCATCTAACCATACTTTGGGTAGAAAAATACAATGTATAATTTGCATGTGTGCCGACAAGAACATCATCAAACCTAGGAATGTGAACTCCAGAGACTCAACAAAGGCATGTCCCTTTAAATGCAGGGATCGACCTATAGATTGATGTATGTCAAGGCATGAGTAAGGGATCCAATGAATTTCTCTGGTGGAATGAAATGTTTAAGATGCTTAGAAGCTTTCTAGGAGTGTGATCTATGGCTTGGAAATGAAGGCTATGCAGTGTGGAATCAGAATTTTTGTCAGACCTTTTGTGTCAACTCATTATTTAATTTAACTATTCAATATTATTAAAAAAAAATGAAGGCCTTGTTTACATGTCCACTTTTAATTCAGGTTAACGAGATAAATATTCACATATTTTGTAGACAATTGGAAATTCAAATAAAACCCCACATCACGAGCAGTGTGATGCATCTCCGATAAGCAAAACCGACAAAATATCATCTTTCAAGTCTACCAGATAAACTACTCAAGAAATCTAATGTTTACTTGTAGAAAATAATCAATATCCATGTTGTTGTTTCATACTGGAAGAGAATGGAACCTCACCTCAGACTCATTCTTGAGGTCAAGTTTCTTGACAAGGTACTTTTTGATGAATGAAGCTGGTATGTTTCCATCCCTGCAACAGGCAACAAATGCATGATAATAACTACAAGTGAATTTAAGAATGAGTTTCAATCTTAGAGAACTTCTTTTAGCTGGAGAAAACGAACTTTGCATCTCAAAAGAAACTGTTTAATTAAATTTTTTATTTTAAAGTCAAACAACCATAAATATCTCAACACAATAAACCTAGAAAGTAACTCAATGGAATTTCTTAAGGCATGCATTAAAATGTGAAAACAAATTAACAAATTAAACTATAGCTATTCATAGGAGAGTATTTGCTTATGTTGTATTACCTCATAATTCAGCCGTGATTTTATTGTTTAGTTTCTAAAGACCCAAGAGCAGCAGTGGCTGAAAATATGAAATAAAGTCTACCAATTGATATGCAAGTCTATAAAGGAACACAGGCTCGGTACTAAGATTAGAACAGAGATGCCTACATCAGATGCTAAGATGGTAATGAATCTTTTATTTTCTATATGTAGACCAATGAAGGGTATTGGTCATTGTGCATGAGTTAATTACATATAAAGATCGATTAACTTGTTCCTTGAATAGATAAAGTTCCGCAATCCAATTTCCTGAAATGACTATGGCATCAGAACCAATAGACAAACCCAAAACCTCACCCTAACACTAACATAGGTGTGGCCCAACATTAGAGCTTCTTCAGCAAACTTCTGCAAATAGAGAAGTTTGGGGGGGGCAAAGTCAGTTGCAGCAGTCAAACGTGTGCCCAAGGTTCACACAACATGTATGGACCATCTTGCTCAAGAAACTTGGAACACCTGATCCCTTCATCATTGAGCAGTTTCAGATTGACTAGACAGTTGGATCATACATTATTAAAAAAATTAGGGTCTGCACAAATTTTCTGTGCTTTTCACATGGATGAGAATCCACGCATATGCCTAAACCTAATGGGATCCTATTTAACTACCACAGAGAACAGAAACTTGAAGTTTGAACACAATTGCACTTGCAATGTAAGAGGGTCAAATAAACCAAGGTCATTGAAGGACAGCCCATCTAAAAATCAAAAACTTTCTATTGATTTGTGCCAGTCACTACAGTTGACATATAAATTTCATGTGGGTTGAAGCTAATATTGCAGGTACACATGGATTTCACTCTTTTAGTTACAGACACCATAATTCTTCCACAGATTCCATACTTAAACAAGTACATGTGCTTTTCCATGGAACAGATAAGCGAATATATTTGATTTGTCCAAGCCCAAAGTAAAGTTGGTTCTCTGGGTAAATGGTTTTTCTTCGAGTGGGTTTGGGGTTGGAGAATTGATAAGACTACTATTTCAAATCTTTGAGTGAGACAAAAAGAATTACTGTGCAATGCACTTTTCATTTTCAAGAACAATTGTTTGAATATTTCAAATCTTATAACCGATTTTTTTGGCGATTTCACAAAATATGGATCTCAATTGGTCACTTATTGAAGTTCTTATACCGTCTGACAATAACTAGAATGCATGAACATTTGTGATGCAAAATTTGCTGATGGGTAGATGGATACATGGTTCCATTCATCAAATGAATTCGAATGCTGCTGATTTTACAATAGAACACTACATATTGCTCTAGTAAGCACTTCATTTGAACCTCATATTCAATCATCAACAACTTGTATGTCCAGAATAGATGCCCTTGAGATGTAGGAATATATTTGAGAATTGTACTCTTAGGATGATTATCCAGGGTCCTATCAAATATGCATGGTAAAAATGTGAAAACTCAATTAAAGCATCTTTAACTAGTGCTTTTTTAAGACCAATAAGGCAGTCTAATACGAAATGTGAGAATGCATGGTTCTAGCCTCACCAACACACGTAAGATGATGAAGAAGCACATGTAGTTGCCAACTAAAGAAGATGTTACGAAATTAAGGAAGCATCATAAGGCTCATTGTTCTTATGCAGGTAGTAGAACTAGAGATACGCAGCTGCTCAGCCTTTAGATGATTGAAACACGTATATAACTTACATTTCAATAAACACTTAAATACTGGATAGAAACAAATCAAGAAACAGCTTGGATGTTGATATATTGGTCCATACAAGAAATCTAGTATCATACTCTATACATGGATAAATGTCAAAACAAGAATAGGGCTTGGGCAGGCCACTTTCCAGCGTTCAGGAGTATCACCTTCTAAGGCTCACATACCTATCTCTCACATGCATGAATCTATGCTTGCATGTTTGTATTACATATGAAGAGAAACACATAAATAAAATGAGAGAAGTGTTGAAAGTGAGTTTCAAGTACAAGATCAGATAGTTGGCCAAGTATTAGTAGAAATCCACTTCTGTTGAAAAAACAAGCAGAGTAGGCAGCTGTTAAATGTTAAAAAACTCACTTTATTCTCAAATACGATGTAGAAATCTGTGGTAACGGGGAATCACCTTCCCTGCGTAAAATGAAATTTCATGACAAACCCAATGTATAAGTATAAACATTTTTGGGAACAATGACTTAAGAATTAAATGACTGTTCTATGTAGCTGCATGCCCAAGAAATACTGACAACTCTTGAGATTTCTGAATAGAAAACATTACTTACTGATTTTCGGAAGCCACTAGGGAAAACCAAATTGGATCAGTTCTTCGGTCCCATCTCACACAAGCAGCAGTAAACAAGGTTTGATCTTTATTTCCCTTCTCTTTCGAACCAGATGCCCTCTTCCTTGCCACCCCGTTGGCCTTTCTACCCTTCCCTGGTCCCGATTGGGTAGGCCCTGTGTTTTTCTCTTCTTCCTTAATTTTTGATTTATGATTGTACCCCCTAACCTTAGGTTTGCGAGCAGGTTCTTCACTAGCAGGACTACCAGGATCCTCTACTTTGATAGCAGAGGCCGCCGTATTGGACTCAAGGGATTTTGTTCTATTTGCAGCTTCTACTAAGCAATTCAAAGGTTTCCAAAGCCCAGCTTTTCCAAGCTTCTGATCCCCCACATTCGCTGTATCATTGTTACATGCATGGTTTGATGGTTCTCCACTTGATGCGTTCTGCTATAAATTACAGCCATAAAAAAGTTAGCATAATTCAACATAAAAGTGATAGTCGTAGCTTAGCCAAAAAAACAAAGTTAAAGAAAGGGCTTACTTTCCTCACCCATGATTTTGCTGTAGCCAACCAAAACATAGATGGGGATGTCAGAACACTAAATTGGCTAGAACTTTCACCCATGTACATGGTATAGATAACAAAACCATGAGTGAAAATAGCAATCCACTACATATAAAATAAGGCCATACAGAAGCTACATGTAAAAACCAAAAGCTCTTCACATTCTTGAGACCTTACCTGCTTCTTATTCTTCTTCAGAGGCTCAGGGGAACTCGATTTTTCTGACTGGTCCTCTGCAATGTCCCCCTCTCTTTTGATGGCTTCATCAGAAGCAGGAGTATTGGATCCTCTTAATGAAGCTGCCTTTCTTGCAGCTGCTTTTGTTCTCCTCCCAGTTAAACCAGTCTGTGTCGATACACAGGGAGTGCTGATCACCAATGAAGAAAGCGATCTTTCCTTCCTCCGCACAGGCAATGGAATGGGAGGCACTTCGGGGGCTTTAACTTTTCTCCTTTTTAAAGGAAATATTTTTGCCCTAACATCTTGCAAATTGTGATCTGGCCTGTAAAAAAGGTATATGGGTTTAGTGAAATGTTCAGGCATGCTTATTAGGCCAGATCTAGTGTGAGCAGAGAACTTTAAGAAGAAATGATAGTCCTTGAACAACATATGAACAACACCTAAAAAGTTAAACGTGCAGTTTATGCAATCATATTGGTCAAGAATCTCAAGATTGACCGCGCAGGATATATAATCTTACTTAATGACAGCAAATAGATGAATCCATGAGTCCAAATGCTGCATGATTTGGTATTCATGTATCAATATAGAGCTCATTTTAGCACAAACTTATCTTAGGGGATCTGTTTATTCTGATGTTTTGAACTTCCAAAATGATTATGTACTATATGTGATCCAATATTAAGTAACAAAGATTACTATCTCACTCCCTTTGTGCAGATCCAAATTTTTCCACTCTCAACACTCCTTAGTAGAAAATAGTACAACACCTAGCTAGTTTCTTTTAAATGAACGAGAAGGTCAAATGGATTAAGTGAGGACACTTCGAGAAAATCAGTGTTAGTTTTGTCAGTCTAAATTTTTTAAATTTTTCGAAATTTCTTCCTGAAATTTTTTGTCATATGTTTTTTGATATTGCATGGCTTTCACAATTTTCATTCACATACAGTTTCTATTCAAGACTCCCAGGTAGTCTCACTCAAAACCGCAGGCTAAGAGGGTTTCGATGGACTACTGAATATTCCAGTATACACACAATTCCCATTCAAGACTCCCAGGTAGTCTCACTCGAAACAGCAGGCTAAGGGGGTTTCGATGGACTACTGAATATTCCAGTAAATGGATCTTCAACTAATTTGGTCTAACTTAATAGGAAACTGACCTTCTGATTTATTTTGGAATTTACCTTTCTAAGTTTATTACTTACTTGGCGTTCAGTCTTTAGGTTCTTTCTAGATACACCTGCACCTAAAAAATTTGGACAATCCAAGATCCTTTGATGGAAGTATTTCATTCATTAAGTAAAATGTATAGGATCTAGATACAATAACAAGGATAGTGCCAACAAGCCACCTCTAGATCCTCTATAGCCAAGTTATTGCATCACTGATTGTCATGTGCACTGGGCACTAATTCGAAAATTTTCATATCTAAGTTTCAGCTAACATTTAACGGCAACAAGATCCATGCTTGAAAAGGGACAGATAGATTACCTCAGCTTCTCCACAGGAGCACAACCTAGATCAATATTGCATATTGGGCAGGAATCTGCCTCCCCATCAGTTAGTTTCTCATATATGCACTTCCTGCAAACTGCTCAAATGTGAAGCATTAGGCATAACATGCTGATTATTATCAATTAAAAGTAAAATTTCATACACTTTCTCAAAAAAGATCCTACAAATTCTTCTTAGAGAATATGTGGATTAACCAGGTAATTGACTGAACAACTAAAAAAGAAGGAAATGACAGAGTGCTAATCAAACAGATGTTCTTCTTTATTTCTCTTATCAAACTTTAGATTATGGTAGACGAACAAGTACACAGGAAACAGGTCTTACATGTATGAAGACATTCAGATATTGTTGTAGCATCCCTGAGGAGTTTCTTGCAAAGAGGACATGTCATACATGCTTCCAGAGTAGCCCTTCGAACTCTCACAACTTGAGTTGTCATGTGTGCACCTCAATAATCTGTTGGAGCAAATGACACTTTATTTTATATATAGCAAGAAGAATTGATTGCATAAGGTAGCACGCTCATGTTTGACATATTGAGGATAAACAGTTCCAATACATTAACACTCACTAAAGCTTTCACATTCACCAATCAGCCTAGAAAAATTAATATAAAAACCAGTTAAAGGGATTTTTAAAGATACAAAGATGACTGCACATAACCTGGTTTAATTAAGACTAAAATCGTTAGCACGATATCACCTCAAGTATCAGGTGCTCTTATTCTTACTGCACGTTCAATTCAATAACATGTACTGGTTATTGCAGCTCCATTGGAGTCTGATGTTTAAGAAAAATGAGTGAGAGAGAGATAGAGAGAGAGCAAAGTTTTGAAACTGACGTGCTCCTTTCTTTCACTTCTGGTAAGAAACTGACTTGTCTCTTTTCTCATGATAAATTGAGGAAATCAGACTATCATGTAGATAAATATTGAACTTCAAAACTATGGAATGAAGTTCATTCAGTTGCAAATGATTCAACTACTAATTTCAATTCACATTGAAATTAAATATATGTACTGCCAACATGTACACATCTTTAATAATATGATTTCCAGACAATATGAGCAGAATTAACCAACCATGCATGGTTCAGGAACAATTGTTGTAAATAATACTGGAATTGGTCATTCCATAAATGAACACATACCCCAAATATCAAAAGTAATCATGGTTCTCATAAAACGCCTTGTCAATCAGGAAAAAAGAAAAAGAAAGAGATTTCTGTGGACTAAATTCCCAGTGTCCCGCACAAGACAACCTCCATTTTCTAGAAAATCCTTCAAAGATGAGTAAATTTACTGCTATTGGATAGTTTCACTTAACCTACTTCTAATCCTGCCCACAAAACTGTACACTAGCTACTTCTTAGCAACTAATGTCAGTTAAATCTAAATTACAAACACTTTTTCTTGTGCAAAAAACTCAATATTAACAATAAATGAAAATTTTATTTTGCCACCATGACTCAAAATTTCAACCCAACAAGGCACCCCAACAGAAAGTAAACATAACAATTCCAAAATATAATGCAGCACAATCTCTTCAAAATACTATAAAAGCGATCAAATACTCCAATATCTCCTAAAATAAAAAAGAAATGAAAAAATGTTTCACAAATGCATATAAAGGGCCATCGTTCAACGGATAAAAGTTACACAAGTACCACATATACCTACAAGCAAAGCTGCTTAACAATTCCATAAAAAGATGTAAATAAGCAAAAAGGCACCACAAAATTGCCTAAATCACCAAGACACATGCAATACAGTTTTTCTGACCCATATCTTCATATACATAAGCAGCAATTTCGATATCTTTCATAAGGAAGCCCCAATATCCCTTGGACAGAAACCCATACAGATACATAAACATTTGCATGCGTACATGCATGCATGAAAACATATATACTTGCATGCATGCATACATAGATGTATATCCACACAAACATTGATACATGCATATATACATACATACATGGATACATACATACATACATACATTTGGGTCAGAATTCCAACTCAAGATGATCCCATATGCCCATGCACATAAAGGTTCACTTTTCATTTCATTGAAAAAGGAAGCCCCAAATTAGAGTTAAAACATCCTAAAACCAAAGCACCCATCTCTTCATTACCAAAATCCTCTATCGCTTCTGATAACTCACCTCCAATCCCAAATTACATATATAATAGCAGCTTGAATTTATCGATCACATGAATCTTTATAACATTACAACTATAATCATATCCATATACATGTACGCACACATGCATTTACCCAAAAAAATTACGCATACATGCATGCGTGAACAAGTACATACGCATACACACACATGCATGCATACAAACACATACATATATACACATTTTTGGGTTAAAGAAAACAACCCAAGAAACACAATCTTTCAAAGTATCCAATAAATCTACATGAAAAAAAGAAAGAAGAGAAACAACTAAAAGAAATACATCCACAAAAACGAGAACCCAACCAATATGCGGTAATAGGATCCATATACACATCATGCAACCACTTGATCAGATGCATTATCCATAATCATAGCAATTTATGCAGATAATACCACACTTTACCTTAGTCTTCACCAACAATCTCTTCTCAAAATCTGATTTTGCCCATTAAAGCTAAGAAGAAAACCACCAGCCAACCCAAATCACAAAATACATTCAAACCCACACACGAAATCAGCTTAATACCCACGAATTATCATAACATTTAGTATTGTTATTTTTATTCATAATAGTGATAGTAATAATATAAGTGAGAAGGTAATAGTGATAATAATAGTAGTAAAAATAAGAGAGTACGTAGGTAACATGCAAACCAGTACCTAATCCTAAGAATTTCAACTAATTACGTGTTATTAGAGGAGATAAATGAGAAGGCGAAAGCATGCAAGAAAAGAGCCTCTAATAAAAGGAAAGAGGCTTTGGTATCAGGAGATAATGGCGAGCGATAACATTGAAAAAGCTGCGAACAAAGAGTGGAGGATAGAGTTAGAGAGAGAAAGAAGAGAGAGAGGGGGGAGAAAGACTACCCGAGGTGCTGAAGAGGGGGGCGGATCGCGAGGAGAGAGGATCAGAGGTCAGGAATGGCGGATCAGGTGAAGATGGCGGGAGAATCGTCCATACGATGAGATCTAGGGCTCAGATTGGAGCTCGTGGAGAGGCGGAGGCGGTGGTCGCAGTGGGCGGAGCAGCCGCTGGTTGCAGGTGTAGAGAGAGAGGAAGGAAGAGTTAGAGAGAGAGAGGGGGTCGAAGAGAGAGAAAGAGGAGAGGGTTTTGCGTCCTTGTATGCAAAGGATTCACGTTGTTTGCGAGGTCTCGCACGCTGCTGGATAGTAATTTACAATTTTAAGATTTTAATACGTTGGCAAATTGGGGAAATGGTTAAATCTTTTTTACCCGCTCTCGTTGTTTTTTGGATTTTTAAAAATAAATTGCCCACTGCTTGTCCCTACCGCATCTTAATTTCATAAATGCCCTTTATCTGCAAGACTTGTGCTCCATGCTTCTTGTTTTTTATGCTCTCTCTATCCATTAAAATAAAATAAAAAGTTCATATAAAGGTCAGGCCGATCAAATTAAGATGCACCTCAAAATTTATAAGGAAATATTGTTTCGATGTTCAAAAATCGTCAAATCGATCATATAACCTCAAGATGCATGGATATGAGAAAAATGGGTTTCAACCAATGATTTAAAAATCGACGAGTCGAACCGGACTCGTTTAGTTCGACTCGAGAACCGGCACAGCCCGTGCCGGTTCCAGCACAAAACTGAGACCTCTGTCCGGTTCCCACCCGATTCTGTCCAGTTTTAGCGGTTCCCTCCCGGTTCTAACCTCAAAAGTACATTCACACGTGTGTACGCGTCACGCACCACTCCCTCCCGGTTCTAGCCTCAAAAGCACCTTCACACGTGTATACGCGTCAAGCACCACTCCCACACGTGTGTACGAGTGACACAAGCGATGCACACTCCCACACGTGTCATACACACTCCCACATACACACGTGGTTCTAGCCTCAAAAACACCTTCACACCAGTTCTAGCCGGGTTCAAGCCTCAAAAAACATGCAACACACTCCACTCCCACATGTGCCACACTTGCAACACCGGTTCTAGCCTCAAAAATACCTTCACACCAGTTCTAGTCGGGTTCAAGCCTCAAAAAACATGCAACACACTCCACTCCCACATGTGCCACACGTGCAACACGCACATGCACGTGTGCACGTACAGGGATGCCCTAGTGTTTTCACACTTGTGTTTATCTTTCGATTACATAGTTATTTATATAGCATATTTGAATATTCATCTTTCGATGTGGGATAATTCCCAAACATCATTAAATGAAAACATACTGTAAATATATGTTATTAATAGGCAATTTAAAACACATACTAAGGAGAAATGATGGTTAACACTAATGTTATTTGTTTTGACTTATCAAGTTCGAATCCCCCCTTGGGCCATATAATAGTTTATCCATTCTTGAGCTAATTTTCGTTCCCTTTAGGTATATAATAAATTAAAGTGTTATTTCCAAAATTTGTATGCATTTTATTAATTTTTATATTAATAGCCAAATCTTTTATTTTATTTATTAATTTTTACATTATAAATCATGTAATGTACTATTTTTTTTACAGTTATCAATAATACATTTTAAATTAGATAATATTGTAAAATATTTTTAATTTGTTAATATTTATCTAATAAAATAATTAGAAAATGTAAACTAATAATTATAATTTTAGTATATAATATTATAATTAGTTAGGTTGTAATAATTTTAGATTATAGTTAGTTAGGCTGTAATAATTTGGGTTTTTTTAGCGGATTAGGGTTTTTTGTCAAAACGAGATTTTAATGGCCATTCTTTTATTGATTTAGTCTACTCTTTATTACAGTCCATGTATAATTATATATTTTATCTATGATAATTCTATGATTTTTCTTTTATGTGATGCAAATTTAATACTTAAGTTTATACATGGAAAGAGCATCTCAATATTCACAAATTGATGAAAAAAATGAAAGTTAATAATGTAGTACCCTCATTTCTTTTTGGATTCCTAAAAAACAATATTTAGAATGAATTTTAAAACTTTTTCGGATTTTTTTGAAGCTTTAATCTGACCGATTCAGCAGATTCTCGATTTGAATCGCCGATTCACCGATCCAGATCGGTTTTTGAGGTGCCCGATGCGGGTCACCGATCTACTTTTTAAACCATTGATTTCAACTATTGAAAATAGTGCATCATGTAATGCATTTTATGAACTCTTAATCTTCAAGATTTGCTCGATCTACACTATTTTGAAGCTTTAAATTTTAGAATTAGATACAAAAATAAGTTTTTAATCCATCACAAAAATTTCTAATACTAAAACAACGTCATTTGACATGGCTTACTTTTGTTTAGGGGCTCGTACAAACCACACCCAAGAAGAGCACGGCCGCTCTCTATCAATAGTCTATATCACAATCACAACCATTTTCATGCTTTTTCGCACCCCATTAGAACCATCTCTCCCTCTCACTCACCAATGCCATATTGCCCTCATCATTTTAAATCATCCATTTTCTTCTCCATGTTACCATCACTTTCGTTGTTGAATATGTTTGTAGGAAATTTTATGGAAATGCCTAAAGATAAGTATTTAATATTTTGCAATTCGCCAACTATTCCAAGATAACATGTTTTTATGGGTATTTTGAAACTAAATCAAAAGACATTATTCGTCTCTCGTAAATAAGATGATAAATTTCCTATTTTTGTTTATGTATTATTTTTTTGTATTTTTCTCGCTGCTTACCACGCGTTGTCAAATTTATGTCTAATTAATTGTACCTATATATGTATAGGTGGAAAGCGAGCTCGACATCTTTTCCGGCTAAATTGTATTCAGTCAATAGCACAGCTCAGTTGTCCAATTTCATATCTGATGGCTAAAGATGATTGTGATTTTTTCGGACTAAATATAACTAAGAATCTTATTAATATCTTTATTTATATTTTCATTACCAATTTGGGCACGATAATTTTTAGCAGATTCAAGCGTATCCTAGATGCATTCCCTCCATCAAAATCCTATCTAAGAGATTTTGGAGATGTGACCTCGTGACCAACCTTATAAAAAAAATGCACCATTGAACATGGATAATCCAATTGTTAAAAACTTCTATCCATGTATTTCAGAACTCAAACTTCAGATGAACCAATAGTGAGTCTAAAATATACAAGAGATCATTTACCTTTTGGTCAACCAGATCGGGTCCAAGTTTTGACCCAAAAAAATGGACCTAATGGGTTGGGCCTAGGTCTACTTGATTGAGAACTCCACCAAGTCGGGTTTGGGTTTGGGTCCGGATCCAAGTTTTGACCCAAAAAATGGACCCAATGGGTTGGGCCTAGGTCTACTTGATTGAGAACTCCACCAAGTCGGGTTTGGGTCTGGGTACAGGTCCAATTTAGACCCTGTTGAGTTGGGTTGTTCAAAGTAGGTCAAATATTTGTGTAAGCTACACCTAAATATAGAAATGTGTACAATAATACCATTTATTTTTTGTACAAGAAGATCACAACTATTATTGACTAGTAGATGTAAAATCGGGTGGTTGGAGATGTGTCATTGGCTAGGCGCAATGTCCAAAATAAAAAGGAAAAAGTTTATATAAAGCCAAGGCTTTAAACAATCAAATTAGAGCGCCCAAATATCATCGAATTGATCATCTCGACATCAAGATGCATGGACATGAGAAAAAGTGACTTTCAAGTTTTAGAAATAGTGTATTTTGTAAGGGTGTAGTTGGCATACGGATGCATCCGTTGCTGAAGAGGTAAGGTGCACCTTCAAATTTTATCATGGTATATAATTTTGATTTAAAATTTTCTTAGGATGATCTCAAAATCTATTTTTATATCTAATTATAAAATTTTAAATTTAAAAAATGGTTAAAATAAAGTAGATCTATAAACATATGAAAATCTTGAAAATGGACGGTGTAGATAATATGTTGTAAAATTAACTATTTCTGAGACTTAAAATATTTTTATTTTTCATGGTCATACATCTCGATGTCGAGATTATCAACCAAAGGGTTTTTTAACACTAAGACTACCTTTTCCGATGGATTTTTGAGGTGCATCCGTAGTTCTACATTATAAGCTTGCATCCTTATATAAACTTTTTCCATTTTGTAATGTATTTTTGGACGGTCAATTTTCATGATTTCATAGATCTACACTATTTTTTAAGCTTTAAATTTTATAATTAGAGATGAAACTATATTTTAAGGCTATCACAAATATTCTAGTATTAAAACCACATTTATCAATACCCTTTGAAGGAGTGCGCTACTTTCATTGTTTAGAGCCTCAGTTCTATATAAACTGTGCCCAAATAAAAATTCGAGAATATTGTAACACACTTCAATCTACTAAACATCACATCCAATGACAAAGAATGATTTTAACCTCTTTATACAAAAAATAAATGGTCTCATAATTTGCAATTATTATAAATATATAATAACTCTCTACTATAAAATACAATATATATTTTTAATAATTCTTATTTGTGAATTGGATCCGACTCCAACCTATTCCTAGTCCCAACTATGCCCTCAAGCTTACTCTCCCACAACCTTTTTTCTTTTTTTTTATTTTGAGAAATTTGACAAATGTACACACCCCTAAAATTTCAAGTAATTTGGATCTGTAGAAAAAAAATTAAAATTCAAACACTACCAGACATTTGTGATCGTCAGATCAGCCCAGATTCAATCTAAGCTGTTGAGTCTCTTATTTTTTTCTAGTAAGCTTAGTCGGGTC